CGGCTCCAAATTTTCTTTAACGGAGAGTCTCCAGACTGATCTGCGAGTGAAACCTTGAATGCTCGCGAGATCAGGATGGTCTCACCAGGCTAGCCAAACGTCCCCCATTCCAAAGGGGTGGACCCGTTCCTCTGTTTCAATTTTCATGTTTTCTAAGCAAAAACAAGGCTTTGTTTTTAGTCCACTCTATAAAGCCTTGAACTCGACGCTATTTCTGACATTTTGAATTAAAAAAGCTTCCTGAATGGGAAGAAAATGTCTTCAAACTTGGCAACAAAGTCCAGCAGATTGTTTTTTATTTTACTTTTTTGGAATGACTATGACCTATATATATGAGAATCTTCACCAACAGGTCAGGGAGGATTTCTTTTGTCATCAGTCCAACAATTGTTTCTATTGTCTGCAAATAATGAGAGAGCCATGTCTAAAAACAAGACTGGGCTAAAGGCGCAGCCCTGTGGGACACCGGTATTAAATATTATGGTGGATGATTTGGAGGAACCCATCCTTACTGGCTGGTGTCTGTTAGGCTGAACGTCCTAATTCATCCAGATAAAGGGAGGTTTTAGGTTGCATTTCCTGTAGCTGGTGATCAAACAGCCTCCTGATGTGACAGCGTATGGAGATTTCCACAGACCTGTAGACATGTTGGTGTGGGTGCATTTAATGATCATCTGTGATCACAGGATCTGTAGCTGCAAAATATCTTATTATTGTTTGGAAAGAAGTAGATCTGGTTTCTATTATGAGCTGAATAGAGACAAACAAAGGAGAAAGTTCTTCTGAGAAATCTAAAAATAAACTGGGTCTGCAGACATCTAGAAAAGGTTTGTCAGAGGAAGATCTGGATCGTTTGTTCTATCGTTTGTACCAGCATGAGGCTGCTGCAGGTTCTCTGACAGAGCAGCAACATGTTCAGGCAGCGGTGGAGCTAAACTGGCCTCCCTGGCGTGTAAATGTGAGTGTTTGTTGTGGGATTCCTTCCTCTCTGCGTCTCTTGCCAATGGGCGACTCCAAGTCGACCTGCTGCGACAGGAAGCAGTATGAGAGGAATGCTTGGAGAGGAGACTCCACCTGCCTGGACTCAGACCCCACCCACTCAGACCCCACCCAATGCACAGCTGCAGACGAACCAAATGCACTTGCAGGTGTGAGTCAATTATTCACAGCATTTTCTCAAACAGCTGCTACACAAAAAAAAGCCTCTAAATAAAAGTTATTTTTGCTTTTTACTTTTCTCATACTAAGAAAAATATATCCAGGGTTAATGATGAATACATTTAGTAAAATAATAATGTTACAATAATGAAGTAAAAGAAAAACAGCTGAGGATTCACCATGCAGTTAACCTTTATCCACTTTATCCGCTTTCTGATTGCAGGAATAGCATCACAGGCATTCATTTCAAATAATCCGGGGTCTTTAGAGGAAAAGTCCGCTCACATTCAGATCTCAAACTTCTGAAAGTTCTTTAAATGTGAAATGATTCCATCCTGTTCAATAAATGATCAGTGTTTTTAATTCAGAGTCATTTTCATGTGAATGTGCTTTACTGGAGGCATCCATGTTTACCAAAGAACACTACTGCCACCTACTGGTTAGTGACGTCACGGTG